GATTGATAAGGAACACTGGTAGTGCGAGTTGATAATTCAGTTGCTCATTCGTCCACCGACGAACGAATTGTCTCATTCATACACATACCGAACTATATGGCAGATAATAATTGTCCTATATTACTGAATATAAGCCGATGATTTTTGGACAATTTTTCATTTCTGGAGTGGGGGATCGGCTTATAACAAGGCTATACGCAATGTGAATAGTGTCATGCAAAATCCACCCAGGAATTCATTGCACACCTCTGCCCCTATCTCCCCTTAACACCACCTGCTAGTGGTGGACGGCATCCCAGACAGGGATTTAGAGTGCCTCGTTTTTTCATACAGTGTCTACACAGCGCTGCGAGCAGCGTGCCACCAAGCAAACACGTTAAGTTTGTGGCGAAAATTCTCGGTATATTGCACATTTGATATTCGCGACCGATGGCACTAACAGAAACACGGGATTATACAGAATCAAACCTTAAAAATACTGCGTCGTCCCACACCTGTGACCGTGAAATTTGCTCTCACCGACTACTGTACTGTGCTTCATATGCATGAGGCCGTCGACTATGCGAGTGCCTGTCTGACACATGGTTGGCAGCATCCGGTTCTGGATTCGCCTATCACTGCGTCCTCCTTAGAGCAACCACAGGACGCCTGCGCCTATAGAGGGACCATGCGTGACTTGCGCTGCACCACCCACAGCTCCAACCACACACCCCGAATCCAGTGTAAACCCGAAGGAATAAGACCGGGAGGCATGTAGATGGGAGCCACGTTTCATCAACGGAGCCGGCCCACACTCCTTCAACATGCACAACAACAGCATTCCTGTCTAGATATGTAGGGAATCATACGTACCAGACGTACACAAGGCGGTGGCTGGACCGTAGTCCGCTCCACATCAGATGGAACCACTCTTTGAGCCTAGCACTATCACGAAGACAGTGCACCCCGTCTCGCCCAGCAACGACTCACTCTGTTGGAGGCAGCAATCGAGATGGAGGATGATAGAAAGGTAGGCATCTTGTCAACATGCACACCAAGCGCAGCCACACCGGAGATATCAAACACCCAGCATAGAATTTGATGGAAAGCAAACATGCAATTGACACAGAAGATGCTGCAAAAGGGCAGAACTCAACAAATCAAATTAAGGGGAACAAATTTTATCTAGACTAAAAAGATCCGGTTTAAGTGTAGGTCGGTTTAGTCCAACTACCGTGAAGATACATCATATATACAACAGCATGTCTGACACATACTCTCACCATAACCTATATAGTCGACTGTCTTGCCTGTTTCATGTGACTTGACGTTTGGTCAATACACGCCCCATTAGCCGCGATTAGAACACTGCGCTCACCACAACTGACCAATAGTAGAGCTGATTTCGCTTGAACGCGGCCAAACAATTTCGTTTCCCATTTTGCTGAAATTTTTTTGGGTTCGGCTAGTGTAGGGACTTAGGACTTAGGACGAATTTAATGTTACAAAGTTATGCCGTCGGCTTATCTAGGGACGGGTTTACTTTCGGTAATCTACGGTATTCAACCTTATTTTATACGGCAAACAACCAGGCGTTATACACTCATTTAAAGGGATCCAGTGCATTCTAAGTGCACCTTATGCCCCAAACGCGGAAGGCAATTTTTACAATCACATGGCTACACGTGGGATGTTGTATTCAGTACCTGACATGGATACACCAACGCACCATCCACATCCGACCACCGGGCACATGGGGTTGCTGCACCGGTTCATTGTCGATGCCTGCTTTTTGGTTTGGGACAAAAAACGTTAAGAATCGCACTACTGTTAAATGGCCAGTAGCGCAGTTCGACTATGGGTTTTTATACAGCTTATGTCAAGACTGGATTCAGGGTCGAAGCAAGCTTTCGCTTACCAAGAGTCTCCTTTCGTATGCCAGCAAGCGAAACAGGCCTCCAGCACTTCGACTTGATAGCAGAAGATCCCAGTTAATGGTCTCTCTGCCCATTAAGGCGAGTCAGGTGTGTGTGTGTGTGTGATTCCCTCGCTCCCCTATGAGGAAACAAAACCATGACAGCTATCAGCCTGCGCCACCTAGACAGCAGCTTATGCCACTGAGCCACCTTATGAAAGCAATCGCGTTGGTCTCCATGTGAACTTTCTCCTGATGTGCTGTGTGGTTTGGCATGGATCGCCATGTTAGACGTCACTATGGTACTCCCGAACCCGGCCAGCAGGCGGTGCTCACGTATCGTCCTCCACCCCATTTCCCTTGGCCGGCCTCCGCGAGCCGTAAAGGCAGCTCCTTTCAGTCCATGCTACGCTATACTTGTGATTGACAGAAGTCCTTTCACTACCACAGGGGCAGGTAACCAGCCGGCGCATTGACATTCCAAGGTAATACCGATGAGAAACATGCTGAGAACACGAAAACGTGACATGCACCTAGAGGGCCGGATAGCGTGGTCAGAACCTAGTCCGTGCATTTCTCGGAACAAAGACTCCTCATATGTCACTAGCCCTGTCAGCGTCCGTTTCCTCCCGCTCCCTGGAAAACGTGCGTCGCGAGCAGGGTTCGAACCTGCGCGGGGGAACCCCATTGGATTTCAAGTCCAACGCCTTAACCACTCGGCCATCGCGACGAGTCGCGACACCCTATCAGCGCTTTGTAACGGGTTAAGTGACCCGGTACGTCATTATATCGGGTGTACACTCGGACTAAAATCCAGTGACAACCGTTTTTATGTGTATTTTCGCCCTCCTACTGTCTATATGGCTTACACTTTCGCCCACTGAGACCCGTCACCGGTTTTTACTCCCCAGTACAGCTAGTTTCTTCCACTGACTTCAGTGAACTCATGCCCTCCCATCTTAGCATTGAGTCGCGTTGTATTATAGGGATGCTGCTTCGCGCTTATACCCATCCGGTGAGTGGGTCTCATCAAGTGAGTTTATCGCACTAGCGAGTCACGCAAACACATGCACAGCCATTTCTTGTTTCGATTGATGCAACCGTTAGCAGGAAACAAAGCCATCCGCTGTTAAACTTGGCGCTATTGCTTCATCCCGCCTTCCAAGTTGGTGACCACGCGATGCACCCTGTACTGGACTCGCGACCGATGCCAGTGGTGCGTTTGCTGTAGTTTCCTTACCGGATCGTCCATTTAAGTTTTGTACGACACTGAGTCCTTTGCGGATGAGGGTTGATCGCAGCTGCATCGATCAAATCACACTTCGCCAGATCCTCGAGCTTCGCCATGTGTATCAGAGGCCAACGATTGCTGTGTTCCTGGATATCCGTGCAGCCTTCGATTCTGTCGATCGTACAGTACTGTGGCACTGCCTACAGAGGAATGGTGTCCCCGAGAAGTTCGTCTCTATACTGCGCGCTCGCTATTGTCCGACCTCGGGCAGGGTTATGGCTTATGGCAAGCTTTCGCCTACCTTTGTGGTCTCCAGTGGAGTTCAACAAGGATGCCCTATCTCTCCGTTCCTATTCAACTTTGCCATCGAGGATGTCTTGAAGAACGCTCTAGGCGATTCGTTGAACGCCGGCGTTGAACTCTTCCCAGGTAGTTGAGTTCTTGATTTGGATTATGTTGATGATATCGTCTTGCTGGGTGACGATCCACAGGTCGTCCAACTTGCATTAAACCGCTTGGCGATTGAAGCATCAAAGTACAGTATGTACTTTTCGCCATCCAAATGCCAAATGCAAGGCTCTCTTCCAAGACTGGCACGTGCCTCTGCCTGCACTCACTCTTGCTGGTGAGACAATAGAGGTTGTGGAGAGCTTTGTCTACTTGGGAAGCTGCATCACTGCTGGCGGGGCTGTTGGAGACGAGATTTCGATGCGCATCTCGAGAGCAGTCCTCGCTTTTTCTAGGCTGAGGCATTTGTGGCGTCGCCATAACATTCGTCTCTCCATCAAAGGGCGGGTCTATTGTGCAACTGTTCGTGCTGTACTGTTGTACAGATGCGAGACCTAGCCCATTCGTAAAGATGACTTGCGCAGGCTATCCGTCTTCGAGCCTCGCTGTCTGCGGTCCATTGCCTGTGTGTGGTGGCAGCACCACGTAAGCAATGTGGAAGTTAGACAGCGCGTCTTGGGACGCGGAAGCCACTCGCTCGAGGAGCTCGTCTCACTGCATCAACTACGGTGGTTGGGACACGTATTGCACATGTCTGTCCAGCGTTATCCGCGTCGTGCGTTGTTTGCGGTTGCTGGACAGGGCTGGAAGAGACGGTCTGGTGGACAGCCTACAACATGGAGAAGCCGCATGAAAAAGCTGACGAAACAGTTGGCCTTGGCCGGTTGTTGTCGACTACCTGGTTGGGGTCCGAGAGATGCGGATACTTGCTGGCTGAAGATCTTGGAATTCATGGCTCAAGATCGATGTCAATAGCGGACGTGTGTATCGGTGTGTTGCGGTGTCCCTTCTTCCTCCCCCTAAAAAAAGCACAAACGGGAAAAAATTTCAAAAACTGAGTGATAAAATAGTCAAAAAAGCTTTTGTTATTGCACTTTTGCTATTATTCTGCCTGTTTTCCTAGTCAGCCATGATTCCGATGGCACAATATTTGTGCCACAGATTGTGTATTATATATATATATATATATATATATATATATATATCCTTAACATCGTGCGATGACCAGCTGTTTGTGGCCGTAGAATTCTGACAAGATACTGGTACATCATGTTTTTACCAGTTATCCTCCCTTATTCTTCCTAAGTGCTAAAATGATTATGGCTGTATGGCAGTGATATATCACTACAGACAACTGTTGCATTGTTCCCAGTGCTTTTGATGCTTATGACACCATTCTTCGGACAGACTGTCCCTTAGGTTCTGATCTTGCAGTTTCTTGCTTCTACCCTTATCACCACCACGGTTTTGTGCACCATAGAAGATCAATACTCGGGATCGATGGTCACTCCTGCGAATTTTTCTCCGTGTACCACTCAATCACAGAACGTTTTTTAAAAGACATTTTCACTCCTTTTCTACCTCCAGTTCCACCACCTCAGCGAACGCCATACAATCCCTTTTGGATCGATTTCATATCCAGGAATCCCCTCGTAAATTTGCACTCTACGAACACACGCTGGAGCAGACTACTAGTGAGTGTTTTCATAAGTTTCCGGACATTATGATTACCGACTTACTATCCCCATTTTTTCGGAGAGCCTTCAAATGTGTGCTCGATGATATCACAACGGAATGCTTGCTAAAGGAGTGGAACTAGCTAACAACGCGATTGGGTCGTACCTTTGGCTGTCCAACAGGCTACCGCGAACGTCCACACATTAGGGCATATGGTATCCGGTGCTGGTTTATCCCGTCCGCATCTAGTGAGAACTAAACACTTGTCAAATTGGCCGCAGTTACCAGTAATTTGGGTAGAAGAATGTCGATGGTATTGTGTCACCTATCAAATAACTAGTGGACGCAACGCATTCAGTGAAGATGAAGTATATCGATGGATGCAGGGTATTGCCCGCCTGAAAACGGCGCACTCCACTCCTGGTTTCACATTTATATGATACCATCAGGTAGAGATACCGGGTATTCGAACCCCGAGGTCTTTGATATGTAGTCGGGACCTTTACGCATAAGCCGCCGAGTCAAGACGGGAAATACTCAGCACAATGATTACTGACTGTTTGGAGGGGTCCTTGTGCAACACGTGTCACAATCCCACTGACCGAATTGCACATGGTTTGCTCTAATGCGAGTCTCGGTACACATTGAAATTACGCTTTACAGTCTATTCACACAACGTGTAATAAAAAATTGCACTGCAATCTCAAGTAGCTCGCTGCACTACCCCCAATGGGTAGTCGACTAAGGGGAGTAAAATTCACAAAGCAAACCCGAACATTCCATCTAATCGCCTGGCACAATAAATTCTCGCCCACATTTGATCCAGTGTACGGATGAATCAGTAACTTTCTACACGAAAAGCAGTTAGAGATTAGAGTTGGAGCACCCTTCTACCACACTAGAGTCGAGTGCAGCATTTCACAGTTTCCATCACCAATCTATCGAGGGTCATCATCTCATATTTTTCTGATATTCACGGATAATGATAAGATTTAACGAGCGGCCAAAGGATTCTGCAGCACGACCTCGATGAGATTTAGAATTGGTTGGTGCGGAACGTGCTGCCAGTCAATTTGAGCGATCTGTTCACATTCATGGCAGTCAGATCTACAAGTATGGGTGCACAATCTGTGGAACGCAATTTCGGTTGGTTCATAGAGGGTAACCTCGGCTTTTGCGAACACATCGAGTCTGTTGGAACTAGAGCTAACCAACATGCTGGTCTCTTGCGGAGAGCACTCCAGAGCTTGGCCCCATCCATTTTCCCCCTGATGTCCAATGCCCGCGTGCGCCCTCCCCCCCATGTAGAATACGCTATTCTGGCACGGTAACTACGGTTGAAGCCTGACCTCGCAACACCCGTGGCCCACATTGTGGTATGAGCATGGTAATGGCAGCTGTTTGTATTCGCCTATACATTCAGAACGGCAGGCAAAAGGCCGCACGATAGATTGTCCGCCCCTCCCCCCCCCCCCCCTCGAGGAGCAACGCCTTCGCGCGTGAGCACGACTAACTCAGCCGATCGATGCTAAGTTTCCGCCATAAGCAGCCAACCCAGGGTGTGTAAACCGGGATCGCTCAACGCAGCGTAGGCTACCCTATAAAGAATACGTTGTATTCTGATCCAACTGGATTCCGATCGCAGCCCAGTCTTCGTTTTGGATTCTCGCAGGGCGCTACACGACATAGTGACAGAGAAAGAGAAGGAACCGATGAGCAAGCAGCAGCTTTGTTTTGACCGGCAACCGAATATCACGATGTCGCAGTGGCGTAACAACTACTTTTGCCGCCCTGGGCGGACCTAAAATTGCCGCCCTCCTGGCAGTTGTGGATCCGTAAACCCCTAACATTGCGAATTATAATAAATTTTTCTTTTCATATAAAACTGTCACAGATTTAATTTTAGAATGCTGCTTTAAATGCAGGTATTTTTCTTGTGACAATACTCGTGTACAAAACTTCGGTACACTTTTCGCGCATTATTTGATGCAATAGTATTGATAAGACTGACCGCTATACTGCTTCACCTGTGAGCCTGAGACCGTCTTTCTGCTCAGCCACGTGCCCAGCCACCCGTAGGAATACAAAAGGCCAAGGCTGTGTAGATAGGGTAAATTCTACAGGGTAGGTCAACTCCATTTATTGGTGAACGAAACATACTAATTTTGGAAGCCCGGACCACCCACTCTTCTGCGTCTGGTTCTCAGCCAATGTGAGTGAATTCCGTCCTACGGGTTTTCCATATTTGGCAAAATGGTTCGCCTCCTTTGACGCGGGTTCGTATTTCTTGGCCAGTCAATTCGCACCCGATTCCCATATTTGGCATAACAGTCGAAGATCGTTCCAGACTCGTGCTGATGATCTTCATATGCAGCAGACAACTCACGTGCTTCGCGATAATCCCACGTGGAACCTAGCATCTGGACATTGGCTCCGTTTACCTCTCTATTACCTCCCCCTTCGAATTAATTGGTCCTACCTATTTTCCGCACTTGGGCTTGGTCGTAGCATTTTACCCTGGGGTCCACTTGTAGCCATCGCCGTTGCCTTCTTCTTCGACTTGGCCTGTATGTCACGTCGTGTGGCGTCTGTGCGACCGGCTGTGTTCCGCTTTGGAGGAGCAGTTCCGTATTCCAAACCAAATGTGTCTAGTAGTATGTCCCACTGTAGTGCTGCTGGTTCTTGAGGTCTTTGAGTGTTTCCATGCCGCGGTCGTAGATGATTGACGTGTCTAGTCCACTTGTCCTTTCCGACCATCATCTCATAAGCAACCCTCTTACCAATAACCATTCCACTGGACCATCTTCCCGGAGTCTGGGAGTTTCTTGCATAAACCAAATCGACGATCTGGAACCTTCGAAGCCCGTTATCCTGCTCCTCTCTCGTTTAGTCGTTGCGTTCTCCAACATTTTTAGGGATCAGGCTATCAAGTGTCGTTCAATTTTTTTTCTAAGTAGACATTCAGCAACAGATTTGCCCTTCAGTGTGTTTGGACTCGGAGTGTTGCGATACATCCTCAAAAACGGCTGATTTGCATCTCCTGACACCTTCGTTCCTACTGCTTTGAGAAGAGCACCTTTAGAGGTATCTACGAATCGTTCGACCTGGCCATTCGATTTATCTGTGGTGCGGCGGCGAAAACTTGTGCTGGATTCCGTTTTGCATGCAAAATTCTCTGAACAGCGTTGATGTGAACTGTGTTCCGTTGTCCGTAACCAGCATCTCTCGTGTGCCAAAATATTGGAACAATTTGTTCAGCTCATTGATAGTGTACTGGGCGGTGGGATTTTGCATCGGAACCACGTCGGGCACTTTATGCAAGAAGCAACAAAAATAAAAATAGTTTGATCCTTGATTGGTCTCGCATAATCCAAATGAACTCTCTGCAAGAGCTTCTCCGACTCGGGCCAGTGTTTGCACGGACATTTTGGAGGGGCCTTTGTCACTTGCTGACAGGATTCACAACTTTGGCAAAACTGTTCGATTTCCGAATTCCTTTGAGGCCAATACGCAAAACTTCATGCCCGTGCCTTCATTCGGCTAGTTCCCGGATGTCCTAAATGAAACTGCTGTAGGATTCGCTTCTGCAACTTCCTTGGTACCACGACTCGGTTTCCAAACATTAAGCAACTGTCAATGACTGACCGAAACAGATCCGCGTCGATTGAACTAAGGTCGTAACTCAGTCGAAATTCTGACATTAGGCCAACTGAACTGCACGAACCCTATCACTTTCAGCAAGATATCGTCTCGATCCGTCTCTGCACGAATTGTGTCCGAATTTACTGGCAACTCTCTTACACTGTTGACCAGGATCCACGGAACTTCCGACTCGAAGTTGACAGATGCGATCACACAGTCCTCCTTTTCCTTCTGTTGGGAACTGATGAGGCGAGATAGAGTGTGAGCTTGACTGAGTTGTTGAGTAGATCGGTATTGTTTACTGAAATCCTAAGCCAGCAGTACGGTTGCCCATCTCTGTAACCGACTTGCTGTGAAGACAACAATACCCTTCTTTGACCCAAATATCGAAAGGTATGTGGCCCATGATCACTTTGAAATGTCTACCATATAGCCTGTTGTGAAACCATTTCACTGCGAAAACATTCACCATTGCTTCCTTCTCAATTTGGGTGTAATTTTTCTCCGCCAATGTCAGCGACCGTGCTGCGTGCGCTTGCCTCTCTATCACTAACAAAATTCAGTCCATTGGTAAGTTCCCTTTGTATGAAGAGAACTGTCCATCCGTGGTTCCTTGATGATTACGAATGCGCTCTCCCAGCTATCATTACTAATGGTTCGGGTCAGAAAGACGTGCAGCAGATTCTCCAAGTTGATATTTCTATGTGTAACACTCAAAAGTTCAGAATGTCCATTAATTTTGTCGTTACCTGAAACTTTTACAAAATACTGCAATCTTTTTTCGGCAAGGAAGTACTTTGTTCCATATTTTTTTCAATTTTGCTAAGCAGACAATCATAGTTATCATCAAGCAGATTTGACAGCGTAAGTAAAGCATATTTGTTTGCAAGGTCATGAATTTGCTAAAATCTATGACATTTCATCAGTCAGACTGTCTGTGACATCAGTACTTCACGTTTTAACTAAGCATCAAAACAAATTGATATATCAAGCGATTCTTCTCCGTGCATTCGTGAGAACTAAAGATGCATTTGATCTTGTGGCTGCATCTTCTCTTTAATCTGTGAAATGTTTCGGAGAAGTTCTGTGTTCCCGATATTTCTTCACCACAACATTTACAGTGCCTGCTCGACTACTCGGTCTAGATTTTACAGTTACTTTATACTTATACCGGTAACTTGAATCAAGACATTCCAGCGATGTTCAAGTGAAAAAGGAATGAGAATATCCGGTCTATCGTGCCAAAAGTGTAACAGAATGATCCGTCGCAGAAGTTGCGTAAACGCAAGCCAGCTCTACAGGAAATAGTTTGTGCATGGCACAAATGTCTCGGCACACCCGATTGGTAAACCCCGCCATAACAGCCGCCTTGTCA